TAGTGAAGCACACGTAATCTAAATGAAAGATTTTTTTTCAATTCGAGGTGCTGGAAGTTTAAATAAGCAATGAATGGTTTTGACCTTTGAAAGCAAAATGGCAACAATTCCAGTTAAAGCTGAACAAGAAAGTGCATGATGTGCATGATGAGTTGCTCTGGCATAGTCGCAAAGGAAATTTAAATTGAAGGGCTTTTTACTAGGTACCTCCACTTTTTCGGCATAAATTTTCGATACCTAAAGTTTTAAATCAATTTTTAAAAAAGAGAAAGCATTCTTGAAGATTTCATTTTAGCATTAATTAAAGGCTAAAGGATTAAATTTATTATTTCCAATAAGTAAAATATTCTGGTGTATTTCAGACAGAAATCATATAGATTGGAATGTAAAATTTAATATCGATTTCTTAAAATTTTCTTAAATGCGGCCAGTTTCTTAATTTTATGAAATTTGTAAAAACAAATTTAGCGATTTTAAAACTCTTCAAGATATATATATATATATATATATATATATATATATATATATATATATATATATATATATATATATTTCTGTCACGTTATTTCAGTAAAAATAGAAAATTTAATGCGATGACAGCTGGTATGGTTGACTAGAATTGACATAAAATTTATGAAATCTAAGTGAACGCATTTTGTGGGGTGGTTAACTACCTCGTAATTTTTATAAATGCGCATATTTTAGCGATTATCTAATTATTGACTTTTATTTACCTTTCGAAGATACTTTATGCAAAAATAAAAAGAATTAAAATACTATAAATTTTTCTTAAATTAATTTCTCTATAAATTGACAAACCTCTTAGATCACGTGACCTTTTCATAATAATGTTGCGTTTAGCCTTTCGTAGTTGAAAAAAGGGAACAAATTAAATAAAAAAAATAAAAAAATTATTTTAAAAATAGAATAGTGTAACTACGTTTATTAATCTTTTCAATTTTGGATTCGTAAATTTCGTTTCCACTTAATTACTATATCACATCCAGGAAATAGCACAATACAGAATTATACACGATTTTAAACTTTTATAAATTATTATAATTAATGTTTTTTAAAAAATGAAAAAATTCTTGTAAAAATTCATTATTCATCGGAAAAATTTTATTTTTTTCTTACAATAATGTCCTTCATATAACTTATTTACAAAATCAATTAAAAGCTTTTCTAATTAAATAATGTCATAGTATTATTGCATCCATTATTTTCAGTTCAGGGCAGATTTTCAGTTAGAATTGTGCAAGTTTGAAAAATAAATAGGTTATTTACATTTTCCAAAGAGTCCTACTTTTAACGAATAAAAAAAATCAGGAAATAGAAAGGTTTTTTGCGAAATTTCATGAAATTAAGTTAACATGTGTAAAAAAAATATTTTTTATCAAAATTTTCTAAAAAAAATTTCAAAAATAATTTTATACATTTGTGAATAAGTCCTGAAAATTTTATTAAAATCGGACAATTATTTGATTTTTACTAGCATTTCCAAATCAATATGTTTTCAACGGAAAAAAAACGCAAAAAAGTCAATGTAATTATGCACCCCCCACCCCCCACCCCGATGACGTAAACAAAACAAGATTCTAACCAAAATTTCGAACGTGTTAGTAGGGATTAAAATTTTTTTTTAAATAATCAAAAAATACTTTGGCTTTTTATCTTAATAATAACATAAACATTTTGACAATAAAATTTTATTTTTATTAAGTTTGCGGGCTTTTTCATTACACTATGCTGTTTTCCGCGAAAAAGTGGAGGTATCTAGCTTTTACCGGAGCCTCTGGGAGTGTCAACATAAAATAATATGCCTATAAGGTATCATCAGTGCTAACTCACACGACAGTGTTTATAATGACAGGCACAATTTCTTTCTGGGCATTGGTTGACTGATCAATATCCGGCTTTACAGGACTTCACGTATACTTTTATTTACAAATGGTTAAGCAGCTTAAACAAACTCTGGAACAACTGTTTCCATTTTCAAAGAGAATTATAATGTATTACACGCATGGCTTCCTTTTCCAGTCTTTCATGATTCTTTACTTGGGAACTTTTGATCATTAAATATTTATAAGTTTTCAAAACTGAAGTTCTTTAGTCGGTTGAAAATCAGCGCATATTGTGACTATGATTGTTCACAACTTCCGGGCATTTAAAAGTTAGTTTCGTCATCTTATTCGGCATAATCGTCTTTTAGATTGGTACCTCGTGCAAGAATTTTTGCATCCAATTTATTTATTTTAGAACCACCCAATTGCCAACGATAAACTGGCTATATGTTGGGATCCATCTACCCAGGTTTTTGTTGTTATCTGAGTGTCGGGATTACCAAACATTTGACAACTACAACATATCTTTCAAATGAAACCTTTAAAAGTTTATTTTCTGAAAGAAAAATAAAAGCAAAACGTGGGTTAAAATGAAATTCTTTTTAGAAATATACAATGACAAAAAATGCACTTGTTTTATTAAGTAACTATGTGTTCTTAGTTTGGTATGAGATGTATAGATAGACAATTTATAATGATCAGCTTAATGTGTCTGTGAGTTCATAGACCAGGCCTTAGTCGGAGGCTGCTGGCTCATCCCTTCCATTATGTACGTGTGTGTGTGGGTGCGTGTATACATACGTGTAGATCAAACAGGCCCCTAAAATTGTTTTGAAATCCGAGAAACAGTATGCTTCTATTTTTATATCCGTAAGATGATTCAATGATGGCGAAATTCAATGATCTGTAAAAGGATTCAGATGGCGAATGACATTGAATTTAATTTTTTTAAGAAAGCGGGGAAGCAAGAAATTGGAAGCGAGTTCTACAGGTGAGAAGTGCGGGAAAAGAAACTGTTAGAATAGAAGAGATTGTTGCATTTATCAACAGTAGAATGGTAAGACCTAGTTGCCAATCTTGCAGCACGTCTAAATGTAGTCTATGCACCAAAAAGGAAATTACATCAGAACAAATGCCATGAAAATATGTGCCAAAAAGAGAGTGGGAAGCCATGTCATGTTGAGAAAATGACTGAAGTTGAGATGCCAAGTGAGACTCGATTGCATTACAGACTCTTTAGATTTTGTCAAGAATCTCAAGATATATGGCAGGAGCAGCAGATCAGATATGGCAGCAGTATTCAATGAACGAATGAATGGTAGATTTATAAATGCGCGGGATGGATTCTGATAAGATCAAATTTCTGGTACGACACAGTGAATCAACTTTCCTAGCAGTAGATTTAGCAGCTAATTCAACATAATCGCTCCACTTCATGTCAGTGGAAAACGTGGGCCGAAAAAAGCGTAAAGGTGTTGCTCTTCTGTGCCTTAGCATCAGCCATGATGATGACAAGCGAAAAAAAAAAGGGTTCACTGCGGTGATTAAATGAAAACTGTTCTGTTTTAGAGGTGTTAACATTTACAAGCCGTTTCTTGCCCCAGTTTTAAAGTTGAGCAAACTTTCTCCTCGCTGGGTAGGAAATCTGTTATGTCCAAATCAGCAACAGACAAGAGCAGAGCTGGCAATGGGAATTTTAACCAAATGGCATCAAAATTCTGAATATTTTTAGGCGAATTGTAACTGTAGATGAAACTTGTTTTTACCTGAACGATCTTGAAGACAAAGCTCATTGAAAGCAACGGTTAGGCAAAGCTGTAGGGGATTTAGTCACAGCAAAAGCAAGTCGGTAAGGATAAAAGGTTATGCTGAAATTTTTCTGGGGTGCTGAGGACATTTTGCTAGTTCACATTTTATAGGAAAAATTAGAGTAACATTTTCTTATGATGAAAACGTTTCGAGGAAATTAGGCAAAAACCTTCATCAGAGAATCCTTTTCAACCACGAAATTACCTCCGCCCAGTCCTATCAAAAAGTAAGGGGAAAATTGGGAGAATTTCAATGTCATTAGGCATCCCTTTTACAGCCCCGATTTACCAACTGACTTTTTCTTATTTCCTGATTTTAAAATTCTTTCGAACAGTACGTATTTTGTGACCATTAATAAATGTAAAGAAAAGCTGACGTTTATCTTGTGTAGAAAAATAAACATTAGACTTAAAAGTATTTGCTTTTAATATGATTTTCCGACGACTTTTTTGAATGAATCTTCATCTTCTTATTTGATACTCACCAAGTGTTTGGGGAGGCACCTATGGGGGAGTCTGATCCACAAAGCAACAGTTACTGAAAAAAGCAGTATCAGTGGAACGTAATTGGAATGTGAAGAAAAGGAGAGTGGTTCACCTCTGTGGGCACAGACCTGCAGAAGCCATTGAGAGATGACTTTGAAAGTTAAAATGAATTTTTGTTATATCATAATGGTCACACAATACAAGGCTCAAGAGCCACTCAAAGTAAAAGACTGCTGAATGAAGTGTGTCATTTGAATGTAAGAATAAGTAGAAAGTAAGGGTTATGTAGATATAGAGGATAAGTAAAAGTTGACCTTTGACTTAAAAAATTGTAGTGTTTGGAGTAGCATCTATGTGGAAGCCTGTTCCACAAAGCAGCAGTTACTGGAAAAAATCAGTCTGAGTAGAATTACTTATAATTGGAATGGTGTATCCGAGTTGTAAAGGTCTGAACTGTTGAAATTAAAACAAAGGAGCACACCTGAACATTTGCCATGGAAATAGCAATAGGCTTCCACTGTTACATCTATGAGAAAGAGGCTAATTGACTGATTAGCCAGATCCTCCGTAAATGGGATGCGGATACATCGGAAATAGTAGAGTGTGTATATGTGTATCACGCTTTGTTGAAATATACAAGAAAAATATGTTTTTATGTTTTAGGTAAGAGGATGGATCTCTGTTTAAAAAGTATATATGACAATGTTTAGTCAATAGTTACACGCGTATGGCTAAAATCTTAAATCCAAATGATTTCGCAGGGGTATCTGCGTGCAAGTGAATATAACGAACCCAACAGGAATTGGAACACGACTCTCCGATTAAAAATTCCGAAACATTATCCATTACACCGCTCGCACATCCATGGTATTCCTAAGAGGTCACCCATCTAGTTACTGATCAGATACGACGTTGCTTAACTTAAGTGATCGTACGAGAACCGGTGTTTCGACGTGATGTGGCCGTAAAGACTTAATTTCTATAAGTTTATTAAACTACTTCCTGCAATATTCACTTTCCTTTTCTTCAAATTCGGGTGACCAGATTCTTATCAAGGTTAATCAATGGCTAACAACTGGTTCGGAAAAACAAATTGTTAGGGAAAAACAAATTGTTAGGGAAAAACAAATTGCTAAGAAAAAACAAATTGTTAGGGGAAAACAAATTGTTAGGGGAAAACAAATTGTTAGGGAAAACAAATTGATAGGTGAAAACAAATTGTTAGGGAAAAACAAATTGTTAAGAAAAACAAATTGTTAAGAAAAACAAATTGTTAGGGGAAAACAAATTGTTAGGGAAAAACAAATTGTTAGGAAAAACAAATTGTTAGGGGAAAACAAATTGTTAGGAAAAACAAAATTGGGGAAAACAAATTTAGGGAAAAACAAATTGTTAGGGAAAAAACAAATTGTTAAGAAAAACAAATTGTTAGGAAAAAAAACAAATTGTTAGGGGAAAAAAATTGTTAGGGGAAAATTGTTAGGGAAAACAAATTGTTAGGGGAAAAACAAATTGTTAGGAAAAACAAACTGTTAGGAAAAACAAATTGTTAGGGAAAAACAAATTGTTAGGGAAAAACAAATTGTTAGGTGAAAACAAATTGTTAGGGAAAAACAAATTGTTAGGAAAAACAAATTGTTAGGGAAAAACAAATTGTTAGGGGAAAACAAATTGTTAAGAAAAACAAATTGTTAGGGGAAAACAAATTGTTAGGGAAAAACAAATTGTTAGGAAAAACAAATTGTTAGGGAAAAACAAATTGTTAGCGAAAAACAAATTGTTAGCGAAAAACAAATTGTTAGGAAAAACAAATTGTTAGGGAAAAATTCTATTAACAGGATCTTAGCCGCTATGACTATGCTTAAAGTGTAGTATCTGTTTTTTTTTTATTCAATATGAAAAGCAAAAGAGAATCTTATATTAATAAACCGGGGCAAATGGCGCAGAATTATATGCAGTTTTTCTCGCTTAATCTCTAACAAGAAACACAAAATAGAACAGGTATAAAAAAAAAAACCTCCATGAATGTAAACATTTCATGGTTTAATTGATTGAAGTTGTCATCATGTTAGCATAGACATGTATTGTCATGGTGAATCAAGATGGGCTAGAGTAAATACTGCCTTTAATACCATAGATCTGCTTGTCAGTTGACTAACATTAACCAGTTGGGGATGTCGTCTAAGGACTGACACATTGTACATCTCTGCTCATAAGCGGGAGTAATGTTGAAACATCATGGCCAAGTGTCAAAAGATTTTTTTTTGTTTTTAATTTAAACAATAAGGCATCTTGTCCGCCTTATCATTCAAATGAAAAACACGTTTCGATATTTGAGAAGAACCTAAACCAGAAGCCATTTTGAATGGAATTGGTTAATCGACCTGGAAACATTTCCAATTGATCCTCACCCGCAAGGTTATGCGTTACTTTTGTCAAAGCATATCACCACATCGCGTACATTTGGCTGTGATGCATGTGTTTGGTATACACTTATCAGCCTGTACGTTGTCATGGACATAGTGGGCTTCGTAGATTTGTACCCCAGCCTAACTTGGTTGAGTGCTAACCTCTCACTCTATTACAATAATAATAATCATAAAATAATACTATTTGAAAGAAAAGGGTTAAAAACAGAGAAGTTGCCCAACTGCTAACAACCTAATGACTGAAATCAAGAAAATATTGCGTATGAAAAGCGAAATATCAGCAATGATCATAGAAGCACTAGAAATCATGGAGAAAAAAAATGGAAGACCGTATCCCAGGCAGGATCTTTCCAGAAGATCTTCCTCCTCAGAACAGACGACATACTACAAAAGCTACATTCATTCAAGCAATGTCTCTATAGATCAAAATACTCACGGTGAGAGTTTGGATATAAGGAATGAAAAGCAATTATTTTGAAGCCATTAAAATATAGCCAGGGAAAATAGTGAAATAAAATTTAAATTTGAAAAAGAAACTCCAAATGCTTGTTTCGTAAGAAAGTCTGAACCAAATGGCTGCTCCAATTTCCAGTGAAAACACGTTCAGAGAGAAAATATACATAGAACCAGAATTTAATTGGAACTTTAAATGATCCTAATACATATTTTTAATATTTTTTTCTTTTCGTATTAGGTGATTATTAATATATATATATATATATATATATATATATATATATGAATATATATATATATATATATATCAAGAATATATATATATATATATATATATATATATATATATATATATATGAAGAATTAATGGATTAATTAGATACGAAATTTACGAGGCTAAGTCAGAAACTATCCGCCCTTTCGCCATAACATATCTTTAGGTCTGCCACACTGCCTTCTGCGCATACGTGCTTATAGTTGGTACTATTGCGGTCACGTGATCGAAGTTTGAGCTTGATCGCGCCAGTTTTCTTGCTGCTGTTACTGTGTAAACATGGCCCCTTCGCTAGCAGTGTGCACCAATTGAAATCCGAATTTGCTGAGAACATGCTACCTCGTAAAAAACAAATGAATCAATCCCATGTTCACTCAATACAAGACGCAAGAGCCACTCAAGGTATGGAGTTAATGTGTGATGCTCTATGAGTATAAGAAAAAGCAAGAAGTGCAGTTCCTGAGGTTATGTAGGAAAGATGACGGTTTACCCTTGACTTGAAAAGGTCAAGATTGTAGTGCCCGGGAAATTATCCTGTCGGGAATTTGTTCCAATCTTTGGAAAGAACATTTCCAAATGGAATTCTTTTTTTTACTAAGAATGGAACTACTTATTAGGAAGCACGGATGCCATATCTTGTCAAAGGCCTTTCATATATTCCAGATGTATTTGATGTTTCCAAGCGCTTTCGGTTAAAGGATTAGCCGAAAGCAATCCTACCCAAGGGAAATGAGGGCGATTCACACTTCTGTACGTGGCATGGTGTAACGTAGTGGGTACAAGACTGATGGAACCAAAGAATGTAGCTCGTTATATCATTTGCCATGGAAATAGCGATAGAGTAACGAGAGGCTTGCGACGTTTTGATTGTGGGGAAGGGGTTGTAGGATGGAAATTAATTCATCAACCACAAGGGCGCGTAAGCCCCTTTCAAATCAATCAAGACTGGTAAGTGATGATTGGACTGCTTCTGCAGCTCAAATAAGGCAGAAGTCCTCCATTTTTGTTCTGACTTGGCTCTTGTAATGATAAAGTATAGCAGGGGCAATCAGATACTTACTTGAGCGACCATTTTCCAGCACCTTCGAGATCTGCAGTGAGCTTGAGTCCCAGTAGGCGTTCAAGGCAAGAGGCCACCTTGAGAGAACACCCACGCATTGTGTCTGCTCGGTTAGGGTGAAACGCTACTGGTTTGGTTTTGGACGTATAGAATTTTGCAAGCGAACCCCCCCCATTGAGCCACCAGGTCTTGATCAGAGGAGAGATCAGCTGTAAGATTTTTGGTCATCTAGATTTTTGAAAGTACGAGGGTCGTTCAAAAAGCTCTAAGTTTCACCCAGAAAGAAGTGCCATAGCTGAACAATTTTGTTGTGGCAACACACTACCACTTCTTATACAACTAGGAAAAACTAATTTAGATTTTTGTCTTAATTTCTGTGCAGGTGAGACCCATACAAAGGTAAGAGGTGTACGACAAATATTAAAAATAGACAAAACTGAGGCCCAAAAAGTCATAAAGTATCTGCAAAAGAGAGGTATGACACCCAAGGAAATCCACGATGACATGGAACAGACACTTGCTAAGGACTGCCCTTCCTATGCAACTGTGAAGAAGTGTGTTGCAAAATTCAAGCGGAGTAGAGACAGCACAGAAGATGACCCTCGGTCAAGTCGTTCAAAATATTTCAGCCACTGATGAACAAGTTAATAGCATTTACAGTTTGCTATTGGATGGCAAACGTTTTACTGATCAGCAGACACCGAAGTCCATAGGCATTGGTTTTGTTTCGGTCCATATTATTTTAATTGAGATCTTGGGGATGAGCAAGCTGTCTGTAAGATGGGTCTCAAAAATGCTGACACTAGAGCAGAAGCTGAAAAAGGTTAAAATTTCAAGGACACTTCTGACTCGCTTCCAGGCTGACCCTGAGAATTTCCACGGCAGATTAGTAATTCAATATGAGCGTCTGTCGACAATGTGATGGCTTATGTTTTTTTGTTTTTTGTTTTTATTATTATTATTTATTTATTTATTTATTTATTTATTTATTGAAGGCGAAATCATGATAGACTGCGGGGAAAAGAAAAAAAATATTAATAGACAATCTATGCCTCAGAATTAAGGCAACTGAAGGAAGCAATCAATTCAAAACGCAGAATGAAGATGAGGGCAGGGGTGCTCTTGCTTCAGGATAACGCGCCCGTTCACACTGCTCGGCTGGCAGTAGCTGAAGCAGCCAATTTTTTTTCTTTCAATTGCTACCCCTTGCCCGTTATTCACCAGACATATGTCCATCAGACTGTTTCGTTTCAAATCCCCCCGGCGTGATTGCCATTCTGGAAACAATGATGAGATCATATGTATTCTGGAGGGGTTTATGGAGGGCCAGGATGCAACTTTTTCCCGTGATTGGATTACAATGCTTAAGCATCGTTGGACCAAGTGCACTGATGTCAAGGGGAACTAAATTGAAAAATAGTGCAACACTGTCTTGTTTCTTCAAATCCTTCTGGCTGAGGGTTAGTATTTTTTTTTTTTAACGACTCCCAATTTTACATTATATTAAATTGGAAACAATTATAAGATCATATGTACAGTGAAGAGGTTTTGGGGGGTCAGGATGCAATCTTTTCACGAGATGGGATTACAACGCTTAAGTATCGGTGGACCAAGTGCATTGATGTCAAGGGGTACTAAATTGAAAAATAGCGCAAAACTGTCTTGTGTCTTCAACTCATTCAGGGTGAAGCATACAACTTTTTTTTAAAGACGCTCAATTTTACATTATATTAAATTGAAAACAATGA